TATATATATATATATATATATATATATATATATATATATATATATATATACATATATATATATATGAATGTTGTGGTTTCCCACGTTGACGATTCCACTCGTGTTACGTTATGTAGCGGTTTTTTGAGTTGTTTTCAGACGAGTGTATACCAAACCGGGCAAGCAGAAAATTCTACTTGACCGCGGCTGGGATTCGAACCCGCGACCTTCGTATTTCTAGAACGATGCTCTACCGTCTGCTCTACAAGGTCAAGCTGAGAACGACGTGTTAAGATTACACTGATATCGAAGGAACTAGACTCAGTTCCGAAATATCGTATACTCGAATCGACCTGACCGCGTAGCTCAGTTGGCAGAGCATTGGGCTAGTATTCCAAAGGTCGTAGGTTCGAATCCCACCGTGGTCAGGCATATTTTTCAAGCCTGCCCGGTGTGGATATACACTCAGAGTAACATCACACAAGTAGGCCGTTGGATGAGGGTCGAAAATGTTCAATTCCGTAGCACCCCTCGTGTAACTACATAATTTCTACATGAATGGATAGATTAGAACTTACTTAGTTAGAATCCACTTCCCCCCAAGCGAAATAGTTGCACAAATTGAAGTACAACCTCTCCAAAGTAGAGGCTTCTTCGAATTTTGAAATCCGTGAACCGCCATTGTTGTGTTGCAAATACGCATGCGCTTGACCACAAAACACTTAATGCACACGCGCAAATTAGAAAAACTGAACTCAATCCAGGACAGGACAAACCTGGAAAAGAAAAAAATTATGAAATGTGCGAAAGCAGGGCTGAAATAAAACAAGATGACATCGAAGTATTTTAAAAATATATGATATTTTTACGTTCTGTTCATTTTAATGGAGTTCGCCAAACATTCTGAGGCCAGGAACACTTCCAAGCCAACATTACAATAATAACTTATTTAAAAAAAAATATGATTGACTTTTATACTACAAAAATTATAAAACGTTCGCAAGCAAATCTGTTTTTCAGGCTTTAAATATTATTACAATCCTAAACATTCAGGACCGTACATAGCGGGGAGACAGGGGGGGGGATTGCCCCCTTGAGAAAACTATATTTGAGATTTTTAGAATGTCATTAATTATTCTTCGGATATTTGGGACTTTTTTCGGCATATAGACCTTACTGCCCCTGGTGAAAAAATCCTGCGTACGGTCCTGTAAACATTCTAGGACACGCATACCGTAATTTATCATTTTTTTTTTTGGGGGGGGGGAAGGAAGGAGGGGGGTTCTAATATATACAAAGAATCTGTTTGCACTGGTTTGATTCTCTTTAAATATGCAACATCGGGTACTGTGATTTTCAGTCAAATATCATAATTATCTTTCAAATACAATACTTTCATGCTTCACGATTTTATACATTAATTGCTTACAGGAGAGGGCCGGGGGTGGAGGGGGGTGGTGTTAAACAGAGAAATTACGATAACTAACAATCTTATTTATTTGCTAAATCTAATTCCCCGTCAATTTTATTGAGTCAAAGTTGGTTGGTCCAAACCTGGAACTTCATTCCGACTCTGTTTTTGTATCAGCCAATTTCATCCTCAAACGGCTTTTCGCCAATCCAATTTGTGCAATCATCATTCACAGTTTATAAAAAAAAACAAAGAAGAAGGAAACAGCCTAGTAGCTTATAGGAGGTATTGTTGTACAACAGCATTTCGTGACGTTTGCAATCTAAATATCTAATTATAATAACTTGCGCATACAACACGCGCATACCAAGAGAAAGGGAGTTTCCGTCTTATCTAATTAGCATTGACAACTTTTCCGCAACACACTGTCCATTACTCAAGTAAATTTAAATTTCGTATCCAACAGCATTAAGACCCAAATCCCCGAACAAAATCAACAGATTACCTTACTCAGATTGAGTAATTTGCTCTTTATCAAGAGGTCTCTAAACATCACTGCCCTCCAAAATCTCCAGAAGCGTATCCAAGATTTTTGGTCAGGGGAGGGGGGCAGCAGAAACCTAGGTGGGGCCATGTTTCACTTCCTTTTATAGAATAAATTTTTGCAGGCTGGCCTCTCGGCCCCCAACCTGGCTATGCTCGCTCTGAAAACGTTTTCAGCGAAACCGTCATCGGCTTTGACTCCATCATCATCATCATCTGTTTTCCATCGCCTTCGATCTTCAAACAATCAGGGTAAATATGTTATTTAACAACATGAAGTCGCAAATCGGAACAAAGGCCAACAGATGATTAACACGATGTGGGTAAATAGGTTTCTCTGAACTTGAACTCGGAGAAGTTTTATATGACATATCGTTGCTAACATTTTCGAAGAGCAGTGATGTTTTCATAAACAGTAAAGTACTCGGTCTGGGTAAGGTAATCATTTGTTGTAATAACTTGAACAAGGTGGGTCCAGTATAGATCAAGGTTGTAGGAATCACACGGTGCAAGTAAAAATTTTCTTTCAACTAGCTGAAAGAAAGATACAAAACTTCTCCGAGTACAGGTTGAGAGAATCCTATTTACTCACATCGTGTTAATCATCTGTTGGCCTTTGTTCCGACTTGAGACTTCATGTTGTTAGATAACATTTTACCCTGATTGTTTGATGATCGAAGGAAAACAGATGATGATAAAGGTAATGATGATGATCATGGTGGGAAACTTTTGGAGTCCACTCAGAGTACTGATGACGGTTTCGCTGAAAGACATTTTGGAGAGCAGTCATGTTTTGATAAAGAGCAAATTACTCAGTCTGAGTCAGGTAAATCTGTTGGTCTTGTTCCGATTTTCGACTTAATGCTGTTAGATAACATATTTAAATTTAATTGACTGAGAATGGACAGTGTGTTTCGGAAAGGCTGTTAATGCTAATTAGATAAGACGGAAACTCCCTTTCTCTTGATATGCGTGCGTCGTATGCGCAAGTTATTATAATTAGATTGCAAACGTCACGAAATCCTGTTGTATAACAATACCTCCTATAACATACTAGGCTGTTTCCTTCTTCTTTGTTTTTTTTTATAAACTGAGAATGATGATTGTACAAATTGGATTGGCGAAAAGGCGTTTGAGGATGAAATTGGCTGATACAAAAACAGTCGTAATGAAGTTCCAGGTTTGGAGCAACCAACTTTGACTCAATAAAATTGACGGGGAAAGATTTAGAAAATAAATAAGATTGTTAGTTATCGTAATTTCTCTGTTTAACACCACCCCCTCCCCATAATTATGATATTTGACTGAAAATCACAGTACCCGATGTTGCATATTTAAAGAGAATCAAACCAGTGCAAACAGATTCTTTGTATATATTAGAACCCCCCCCCCTTCCCCCCCCCAAAAAAAAATGATAAATTACGGTATGCGTGTCCTAGAATGTTTGCAGGGCCGTACGCAGGATTTTTTCACCAGGGGGCAGTAAGGTCTATATGCCGAAAAAAGTCCCAAATATCCGAAGAATAATTAATGACATTCTAAAAATCGCAAATATAGTTTTCTCAAGGGGGCAATTGCCCCCTCCCCTGTCTCCCCGCTGTGTACGGTCCTGAATGTTTAGGATTGTGATAATATTTAAAGCCTGAAAAACAGATTTGCTTGCGAACGTTTTATAATTTTTGTAGTATAAAAATCGAAAAAATAGAGGATGCGTAGCCAGGTTGAAACATTATTTATTGAACGTTCTCTGACTTAATATTTATTTCTACGAGCTTTTGGCTATCAGTCTATAGCCTTCGACGGGTGTATATAAATGTATATAGCCTTCGACGTCTATAGCCTTCGACGGGTGTATACACCCGTCGAAGGCTATAGACTGATAGCCGAAAGCTCGTAGAAATAAATATTAAGTCAGAGAACGTTCAATAAATAAGTATAAAAGTCAATCATATTTTTTTTTTAAATAAGTTATTATTGTAATGTTGGCTTGGAAGTGTTCCTGGCCTCAAAATGTTTGGCGAACTCCATTAAAATGAACAGAGCGTAAAAATATCATATATTTTTAAAATACTTCGATGTCATCTTGTTTTATTTCAGCCCTGCTTTCGCACATTTCATAATTTTTTTCTTGTCCAGGTTTGTCCTGTCCTGGATTGAGATCAGTTTTTCTAATCTGCGCGTGCGCATTAAGTGTTTTGTGGTCAAGCGCATGCGTATTTGCAACACAACAATGGCGGTTCACGGATTTCAAAATTCGAAGAAGCCTCTACTTTGGAGAGGTTGTACTTCAATTTGTGCATCTATTTCGCTTGGGGGGAAGTGGATTCTAACTAAGTAAGTAAGTTCTAATCTATCCATTCATGTAAAAATTATGTAGTTACACGAGGGGTGCTACGGAATCTGTTTTCTAAGCATATTTTCGACCCTCATCTCACGGCCTAATACTCTACCCAAGCTTGATCTGCCTCCAGATTTGAATGCAATCGGCATGAATATTTCAGAAAGACATTTTAGTTTTTGCAGCACCATTTCAATTTTGCTCGACATTTTGGAGCGACACTTGCAACCATGGACAAGGTGTTTCACAAAATACAGCTTCAAGCCTGTTTTCTCCGGCAGAAACGGCTCGACTTTTGTCTCACTTCCTTCAAATTTGCACAAAGACACAGGAAAACAGGCATTACGAAAGTGTAACGTAATGAAATGTAGTCAGGTAGAAACTTTGTATAAGCATGCAGGTAACCCTGTTTCTTATGTTGTAGGGTATGTTCTTATGTTGTATATGAATTCGTCCTCTTTTATATTTATTGCCATATAATTGCAGCATACAACGAATCAACAGTGTACTTTCTTTGATAAAACGAAAATATATACCACAAAAAACAAAAAAGTAAACCTACAGCTGATACCATGATATATAATTTGACCTTCCAAATACCAATTTCAATTCATGCTAGTTAATAACGCGCAAGTGTTTCGAAGTGAAAAAGGCTGCTTGGGTAACGGGACTCCGTGTGGCTCTGGCTCTGGCGCCTGGCATATTAGCATGCAGTATGCAAATAGGGTTTTATATTTGGATTAAAACAAATAATTGTTGTTCTCTTAATTAATAACGAATAAACAAATAAACAAAACGAAAATTAATTTTCAATCGCTGTGGTAATGTAATTTCGCTATAAAGGATGTTACCCAAAATCCTTGCCGAATAATTTCTGAATTGTACTAAAATTATGTTTTATGATACAATAGTTAAATCTGCAGACGTAAGTGTCCGAACACTGTTAGACCAAACACTTTTATATACGTCTGCGCATGCGT